CGCTTAATCAGCGAGGCATCTTCCCAGTTTCCACCTTGCTGCTACGCTTCTTTTGTGTCTTGATGGAGGGAGATGGAAAAAGACTTATATGGAGCAATTGGATGGGATCTTTAGAAGAGTGGATCGTTTGACTACAAAATATTTCAACTTGATGGCGACGTTTAATGCCTTACAGCACCCAGCATCCGGCGGGATCAAAGGAAGTCGGTGAGGATGTCACAGCTTCCTGAATTCAAGGTGCATTCAGTGCCGGATGGGTTAGAGTGTCAACAGTGCCAGATGGACTAGAGTGTCAACAGTGCCAGATTAGATAGAGTGTCAAAGTGCCAAGGCATTCAGAGGGTTCATATTGCCAGAATGGTCAGAATATGGACAGCGCCAGAGTGGTCAGCATAGAACAATATAATGCTAATGGATTACACTAACAAAAGTACCGCGGGCGAAGTCAACGCTAACCAGCACCTACGTCCACTTGTTGTTAAACTGGAATGTTTCCCTTGTTACTTCACTGGCTCATATGGGCACCATAAAATTTCTCACGTTGAAAAGTCCACTAGTCTATAAGCGAGAATGTCTGTCTCTGTCAAGGGTGAATGTCAGCCGCTTTGGGAATTGTCTCACCCAGATTTGGCGGGGAAATGATCTCGAGGTAAAGCCAGACTTAGGCTGGTTACTGTGATATAAGAGATAATGTAATGATACTGATATTAATAACACAAGAACAAACTCATTTTATATTACTGGGTTAACGAGTGTGGGACCTTAAAGTACGTAACAAAGACAACAAATACAAATTCGAAATTACAATTGTAAACAAATTCAAAAAACTTATGCAAACATAACTGAATTAAAGGTTATCAGTTACACATGTTATGAAAAAACACAAATATTACATAATAATAAATACAAAATATTGTAGCCAGTGTCTTATTTCAGCTGAAATAAGTAGAAGACAAGATGTCACTCAAAATAAGCATAAAAAACGCAAAGCAGGGGGGGGGGCAACTAAAAAATAATGAAGTCTACAAAGCAAGCGTTCCAGGAAAAAACAAAATCTAGATAATGTTTACAGAGTATATAACTGTACAGCTGAAACATTATTTTTCAACAGAGGCCACAGCTCTCTGACATATAAAGATTCCATTATAAGCAAATCTGACTGACCACTCATGCATGTAACCAAGATTTTAAACTGCGGACTCATGCAAAGAATGGTTCGCCTCCTAACAGCCTCCTATATATATATATATATATATATATATATATATATATATATATATATATATATATATATATATATATATATATATATATATATATATATATATATATGCAGCTCAGTATGATATGTGTGTGTATCACGAAAATTAACACGTGATGAAAAATGTGACAGTGTCAGACCACGAAGGAAGAATTGAAACAGGAATTTCCTTAAGTACTTTCGTATTTAATATATATTTATAGCGTGTTGGAGTGTGTACAGTAGCAGTGCACATAGAGTGAACCATAAAGCTCGACTTGGACCTGTTGAGTAGGGCGGTGTGACCCATGGACCGTGAGAGGTCACAAAGGGGGGTGCGGACCCTCCCCTCACACCCTCTAATTATGGTCATCACAGACACGTGTCCCCTCACCCCGGCCCCGCCCTTGACTCACCACTTCCCCATTGGTCACTCAGGGGCAGTTACACCACTCTGTTGAGTATTTTTGGCTCCTGCGAGTTAGAATCCTCCTGCGTCAGAATTAACTCCGTTCCACTATACCCCCAATAACCACAATTCAGAATAGTAAATTTAGGGGGCTCAAGCACTCTCAAAATGTATATATAGGCTGATTAGTATTGTAAATGTGTGGCCAAGTCTGTGGTAGAAAATAATAATAAAAAAAACTATAATAAAAACTCACATAAGTTACTCCTAATCATTCCCAGCAAACACTCAAGCCTCAGACACACTCGCGCGCAGATACAAGGTAAACAATAGGGCTTCTGTCCTCGTCTCTCTCAACAACTTCTACAGCCTCCGAACTGAAGATTTTACCTGTGATTTCCCGTCTCTTTTTAGACAAGGGAATCATGAAGTGATCATCATGTACATTATATATATATATATATATGTATATATATATATATATATATATATATATATATATATATATATATATATATATATATATATATATATATATATATATATATATATTTAGGAAAGTTTGCTTTTAAAGCGAACGTAATACAAAAATACAGTTTTTCTTAACGGATCGCTGTTTCCACAAAGCCAACTGGGCCAAGAGTATTTTCTTGAAAACAATTCTATTCTCTTCTCAAGTTCTTATAGTCTCTGGTAAAAACACATGAAAAGATCCGAGGCAAGAGGCTGTGAAACACATACACTCTACGGTCGATGCCCCCTTTGGCCTCGACTTATAATCCCAGACATGTGAACATGATCTCGTATTTAACACTGAAGTTAAAAAGAGTGTGTGAGGCTAACAGCTATCAGGGACTGAAGCCATAACTGCGCCGTGGGGTGCATCGCGTTACCATTCGTCATGGGGGAGGTCTCGACTACAGAAACAATAGCTGTGACACACAGGTTCACACGCTCCTGTAGGAGCGGAATGAAAAATCTGCAAGACGGAAATCGCCGTGAAATCCAAAGGGAAGAAGCAATTCGATCAGCAGGCCATCCTTGCTCCCTTTGTTCCAGACTTGACCCCTAAGGAGAGAGAAACCTCTGAAACCTTCAGAAACCCCTAAAACCTTTTAAATCTTTTAAACCTTCCGCTGATACTTCTATTACTTATAGTCCCTTAATGTGACTGTGGATCCCCTGATGAGACTGGACCATCCCCTAATGACACTATGGACCATCCCTTCATCCCCTAGTGACACTGTGGAATCCCTCCATCCCCTAGTGACACTGGGGACCATCCCTCCATCCCCTAGTGACACTGAGAACCATCCCTTCATCCCCTAGTGACACTGGGGACCATCCCTCCATCCCCTAGTGACACTGAGAACCATCCCTTCATCCCCTAGTGACACTGTGGACCATCCCTCCATCCCCTAGTGACACTGTGGACCATCCCTCCATCCCCTAGTGACACTGAGGACCATCCCTTCATCCCCTAGTGACACTGTGGACCATCCCTCCATCCCCTAGTGACACTGGACCATCCCTCCATCCCCTAGTGACACTGAGGACCATCCCTCCATCCCCTAGTGACACTGGACCATCCCTCCATCCCATAGTGACACTGAGGACCATCCCTCCATCCCCTAGTGACACTGGACCATCCCTCCATCCCATAGTGACACTGAGGACCATCCCTCCATCCCCTAGTGACACTGGACCATCCCTCCATCCCCTAGTGACACTGCACTTTAATTTCATGGCCACAAATGCATTATCACTGTCTCTCGCGGCCTCCCCCACTAGTAATTTGTCACTTACGTCATAATCGAGACTTGTCACAACAGTTCCCCCAAGCGAGCGACCTCTCTCGCTCTCCCTCTGATTTGAAACTGAAGAAAACATTGTTCGTAGCGGCGGTGCTGGCCGGCAGTTCGGTGTCTCGTTGCTTATTTACGACGGAGGGGGGGATTAAAAAGGATAAAATTCATTGGATCACTAAAATCCCATTACAAAAACGCAAATACACCACATTCATGGGGGTCAAAATTCCATCAAGACTCCCACAGTATGGCTGGGGGTGACCGAATTGGACTTTCCATACAATTTCCTCGCACCGCTGACGTTCCCGACCTGCCTCGTATAACGTCTGGCATCAAGGCCATGGCACTGCGGGTGCCAGCCAGTTGTATCGCTATTAAATCATCTTCAATACTTGTTATATTCTTAGTAATCTCTGAAAACTACTCTGGTGATGAGAACGTGGCGCACGCGTTGGCAATTCCGATAAAGTTGATGGGAGCGTTTGCACCCTCGTCCCGGCGTCCGCCATATTGTTGTGGCCACGTGACCTCCCCCCTCGTCCCCCCCTGGCGGCCACTCACAGAGCGGGGTTGCTTACACCAGCCTCGACCTGCGACCACACTTTTTGCTTCCTTGTTTTAGCTTGTTTGTATTGCCCCTTCTTTGTCGCTTGGTGCAGGGTTCCCTTGAGAGGAGTGACACTATGGTGTCAGTCAGTCAGTCAGTCAGTCAGTCAGTCAGTCAGTCAGTCAGTCAGTCAGTCAGTCAGTCAGTCAGTCTGTCTGTCTCTGTCTGTCTGTCTCTCTCTCTCTCTCTCTCTCTCTCTCTCTCTCTCTCTCTCTCTCCCTCTCTCTCTCCTCTCTCTCTCTCTCCTCTCTCTCTCTCTCTCTCTCTCTCTCTCTCTCTCTCTCTCTCTCTCTCTCTCTCTCTCTCTCCCTCTCTCTCTCTCTCTCTCTCTCTCTCTCTCTCTCTCTCTCTCCTCTCTCTCTCTCTCTCTCTCTCTCCTCTCTCTCCCTCTCTCTCTCCCTCTCTCTCTCTCTCTCTCTCTCTCCCCTCTCCCTCTCTCCTCTCTCTCTCTCCTCTCTCTCTCTCCTCTCCTCTCTCTCTCTCTCTCTCTCTCTCCCTCTCATATTTTGTGTGTACAGTCTCCCAGATTTTTCCATCTTTCAGTGACATCGTTCACTGTTTCGTGACCCAACTTGACGACCGATGATTGATGTTGACAACAAAAAATCAGCTGAAAGTCATCAACTTTCGTATAGAAATTAAACAGTCGTCTGAATTATAGGAAAATGAACTTTTGATGATGGGCTACGATTGATTGTCGCGGTGATTGATGATGTCAATCCTCGGTGATTGATGGTGTCGGTAGGCGGTGATTGATTATGTCCATCGCCGGTGATTGATGGTGGCGATCTGTGGTGATTGATGGTGTTGATCGGCGGTGATTGATGCTGTCGATCGTCGGTGATTGATGGTGTTGGTAGGCGGTGATTGATGCTGTCGATCGTCGGTGATTGATGCTGTCGATCGGCGGTGATTGATGGTATCAGTCGTCGGTGATTAATGCTGTCGATCGGCGGTGATTAATGTTGGCGATCGGCGGTGATTGATGCTGTCGATCGGCGGTGATTGATGCTGTCGATCGGCGGTGATTGATGGTGGCGAACTGCGGTGATTGATGATGTTGATCGTCAGTGATTGATGGTGTCGATCGGAGGTGATTGATGGTGTCGATCGGTGGTGATTGATGGTGATGGAAGGCGGTGATTGATGATGTCGATCGTCGGTGATTGATGGTGTCGATAGGCTGTGATTGATGCTGTCGATCGTCGGTGATTGATGGTATCGGTAGGCGGTGATTGATGCTATCGATCGTCGATGATTGATGGTGTCGATTGGCGGTGATTGATGCTGTCGATCGTCGGTGATTGATGGTGTCGGTAGGCGGTGATTGATGGTGTCGATCGTCGGTGATTGATGGTGTCGATCGGCGGTGATTGATGCTGTCGATCGTCGGTGATAGATGGTGTCGATTGGCGGTGATTGATGCTGTCGATCGTCGGTGATTGATGGTGTCGATCGGCGGTGATTGATGCTGTCGATCGTCGGTGATAGATGGTGTCGATCGGCGGTGATTGATGCTGTCGATCGTCGGTGATTGATGCTGTCGGTAGGCGGTGATTGATGTCGATAGGCAGTGATTGATGGTGTCGGTAGGCGGTGATTGATGGTGTCGGTAGGCGGTGATTGATGGTGTCGGTAGGCGGTGATTGATGGTGTCGATGGGTAATGATCAAATTGGAGGTCGTTTTTCAACTGTAGACAGTTCATTTAGTACCAGATTCATCACACTTCAGTGATTCAGTTAGATCTACATTAGTTAAAAAAAAGAGAGAAGGGACGAGAGAGACTGAGAGCGAGAGAGAGAGAGAGAGAGAGAGAGAGAGAGAGAGAGAGAGAGAGAGAGAGAGAGAGAGAGAGAGAGAGAGAGAGAGAGAGAGAGAGAGAGAGAGAGGAAAGGAAGGGAGATAGAGGATGGTGGGGGAGATGGTGGGGTATTGGAAGGGAGAGGCAGAGGACTGGAGCACTTAGCTCGTTAGGGCAGAGTTGATACAATTATTGTCAAAATAGGGTTGATAATGCTGGCTGAAAAGGGCCGTCCGTAACACACTTACTCCACCCTAACAACTGCCTAATGGACGGGCAAATTAAAGATGCAACAGTCAACAGGAAATTCTCGACTAGTTTGGGGTTGAAATCTGTCATTCACTCGACATGTCCGCTCGCTGAAACCCAAGTTAGGCGCCAACTGAGATGATCTCGATAGCGTGTTGTAAGTTTGGCGTTCAACTAAGTTTAGGGATCAGGGAAGATGTGGTACTGCCTCCCACCTGGCCTTTGATCCGCCTCAAGCTTGCATCTTGAAATTGGGATTAGTGAGACAGTGAGCCCCTTGACGCGAGAGCAGCTCAAGTAAACAATAAGATTTGGCTTAAATTACACTTTATTTAAACTTAAATTACACCTTATTTAGTTTCTTAAATTAGTTTCTTAAATTACACCTTATTTAAACTTAAATTACACTTTATTCAGTTTCTTAAATTACACTTTATTTAAACTTAAATTACACCTTATTTAAACTTAAATTACACCTTATTTAAACTTAAATTACACCTTATTCATTTTCTTAAATTAGTTTCTTAAATTACACCTTATTTAAACCTTTGAAATATTTAAAATTAATATACACATGAAAGTATAAATTCGCGTATGCCATTGCGTATGAGATATAAAAGACGTACGAACGTATTTTATATGTTTTTTCGTGATTGTTTTATACAAATAATCTGTAACGTTTAAAGTTAATTATAAAATGAGTTGTTTGAGTACGTCACAGTGATGTGGAATGACCTGATCCGTGCTCTATGATTATAGACGTATGTACTCACCTAGTTGTGCTTGCTGGGGGTTGAGCTTCGTCTCTTTGGTCCTGCCTCGATGTGTATATGTTGCTGTAGAGGCAGGACAGGGATATCCTAATTACATCATGAGTAAATATTTGTTATATATTTATCCAACTAAACTGCATTGATTTTGATTTTACTCTATATAATGAATAAATATAACAAAATGATGTAAAGTTCATTAGAAAGTATGACGATTTAAACCGGTAAGATGTGTCGTCGTGCTTGCTGGTCGTTCACGTCGCCTGCATGACGTGGTTAACATATCCCACATACTGTAGTTTATATAAAAATAAAAATCCACTTCCTTAAGATCTAACATAGTTCATATTCATCCACCATTGGTTCGTCTCATTCAAGATCCTGATTCCACTTATTCCAAAACAAAGATTTCTTATATTCCAATGCCTACTTTTCGTACATTCAAGATGATGATTTCTTTCATTCTAACATTATTTTTTTCTTTCCATTCCGATTTGGCCAAGCAGCTGTTGTATATTTCTGGAGGTTCACGCTACCCACTGAGCACCGAGACACGCTAACTAAACCATCAACACATCCATTATTGATTGATGTTTTTACTGTGTAATGTAGGAGTCGCTCATGTTAGTTTCTCTCTATTATTAAACTATATTCTCCCCCCTTTGCGTGACAAGAACTCCGAACATGTCAACATAATTTCCCAACTTGTCATATGTATTTATTAGCCATCGCCTCGGGGGCCCCCAATATGTCGTTCTCGTGATGTGGGTGACAGGTCAGTCATTTCTTATCTGAAGGCAGTGTTGGGTGCTGCTGCCATCACCAGCAGCAGCAGCAGCAGCTGTCACCCTCAGGTGGCAGTGTTGAGTGCAGCTGCCATCACCCTCTCAGGTGGCAGCTGTCATCACCCTCAGGTGGCAGCTGCCATCACCCTCTCAGGTGGCAGCTGTCATCACCCTCAGGTGGCAGCTGCCATCACCCTCAGGTGGCAGTGTTGAGTGCAGCTGCCATCACCCTCTCAGGTGGCAGCTGTCATCACCCTCAGGTGGCAGCTGCCATCACCCTCAGGTGGCAGCTGCCATCACCCTCTCAGGTGGCAGCTGTCATCACCCTCAGGTGGCAGCTGTCATCACCCTCAGGTGGCAGCTGTCATCACCCTCAGGTGACAGTGTTGAGTGCAGCTGCCATCACCTGCACCTCCTCCCAGCAACTGGCATCACCCTAATACCAAGTTTGTCTTCCACACAGTCTAACTCATTCCTCTTTACCACTGCACTGTGCATCAGATAGTACTTGTGACATCACTCTCAAAGACTCGCACATCGCCACAGTCATGCTGCTCACGCTGACGACTTGTCGTCAGCAAAGCAACGTCAGTGTGTCAAAATTGAGAATTCTGCTGTCAGCGAAGCACTTTTAAGTTCTATGAATTCATTTTAGAATCACCAAATACTGTCCATCAGAATTTCACAACTATAAAACCACAGGTGCAGTAGCATGTCACCCAGTAACACCATCACACCACAAAACATGAACAACACCACACCACGTCACCACAATCAAACCACCATTACACCAAAACATACTATGAACACCATCACACTGTTGCACGTTGCTACCACACCACAACAAAGCCAGCCAGAGTGGTAGAAATAGCCTAAACTACTCTATCCCTTTGAAATGTATTTCTTTCTTGTCTCAATAAACATACTTGAACTTGAACCAGCCACTATGCAATGCAACAACCTACACCTCATAGTGGCACCACACAATAAACTCAACTTAAAGCCATTTCAACATCAAGATCAGGGACCCGATTCACGAAGCAGTTACGCAAGCACTTACGAACCAATACATCTTTTCTCAATCTTTGGCGGCTTTGTTTACAATTATTAAACAGTTAATGAGCTCCGAAGCCCCAGGAGGCTGTTTATAACAGTAACAACAGTTGATTGGTAAGTTTTCAAGCTTGTAAACTGTTTAATAAATATAACCAAAGCCGTCAAAGATTGAGGAAAGATGTATACGATCGTAAGTACTTGCGTAACTGCTTCGTGAATCTGGCCACAGAACTCCATCAACACACATTGCCCACTTTTCAACACAACAACGTTAATACACAACCGACAGGTCCCAGGTTCGATTCCCACGTCAGGACAGAGGCGTTTGGGTACGTTTCCTTTCACCTGATGTATTTTTTCTGCTAATAGTAAATAGGCACAAGGGAATTAACCGTTAATGTGTGCCTCCAGGGGAATGGCAGTAGTTGGCCTAATGGGACCTAGTTAAGTCTAATAGGCTTCCTGTCCCCGACAATGGATAAATACACCATAATTACTCCGCACACCATTCATCCCCCACACCACTAATACCACTACAACCTAACTCAAGACTCAAAACAATGCTATACCACAGCCCCTACAAAACACGGACACACATGCACATAAAAAACACGCACACGCGCACACACACACACACACACACACACACACACACACACACACACACACACACACACACACACACACACACACACACACACATAGGGGCCTCGTAGCCTGGTGGATAGCGCGCAGGACTCGTAATTCTGTGGCGCGGGTTCGATTCCCGCACGAGGCAGAAACAAATGGGCAAAGTTTCTTTCACCCTAAGTGCCCCTGTTACCTAGCAGTAAATAGGTACCTGGGAGTTAGTCAGTTGTCACGGGCTGCTTCCTGGTGTGTGTGTGTGTGTGTGTGGTGTGGAAAAAAAAGAAAAAGTAGTTAGTAAACAGTTGATTGACAGTTGAGAGGCGGGCCGAAAGAGCAAAGCTCAACCCCCGCAAAAACACAACTAGTAAACACACACACACACACACACACACACACACACACACACACACACACACACACACACACACACACACACCCCATCATCATCATCATCATGTTGTTTAGGTGATGTTGCTGATCAGAGATAAGCAACATCATCTAAGACAACAGCGATAACAACCATCAAGAACATCTTTAGTGAAGATAAGTCGACCCTAGACGAGCCTACCGGAGTTATACCACAAAGTTGCTTCACTCAAGACTACTAAAAGGCTTTTGACACATTACCACATAAAAGACTACTGTACAAGTAGTCCTCAGTCAGGAGTCCTTCCTACTCCTTCTACTAGAAGCAGAAGGATAGATTGTTGCCGCCGAAGGCGGCTAGTTTATTGTGCACCCCATACTCATCCTGTGAGCGGTAGCGCAATAGCATTACAGAGGGCACAAAAGGTCTTTATCAGACCTCATCTTAGATTATTACATAAACAATTTCACCTATCCTTCACACCAGAAGGAGTTGACCGAAATAGTACTTTACTATGCGGGTAAATAGCAGACAGGATTGAAGTGAGAGAGGGCAAATGGCATTGCTTAACAACCGGTTGCCTACTGTAGGTATCCATCAGTCTCAGGAGACTATGGAGTTGCCCTCTGGTTGTCGGTCTGGAGTGGCCTCTCCAGGGCGCAAAGCCTGGGTAGGTTGATACGGAGGAGAAGCTGTTACCCATGCAGCTGGTCTCCCCTTCTCTACCGCGCCGAAAGTCTCTAATGGAAAGGCAACCGCCAATACGATTGCTTCCAGCACCGTCGCAGGAACAGTCAGAACGAGGCTGAAAGCAACAACGAGTTTAGTACTGTTATTCGGCTCTGTTATTCCAAATCTTTGTCATTGGTCTAATTCTGTTAATGGTTTATTGCAAATCTGTGTTTCAGACGAAAAAATGAATGAGAATCGGAGTCAGATAAAGAATGATAATCGGGGTCAGACAAAGAAATTGACGGGTATCAAAACGGCATTCAGGAACGTTGATAATGAGACGTTCAAAAAGCTGTATAAAAATCCCCATGCAGG